TTTTTAATTAACTGTGATTTTTTTATTGTTCAAAATTACAGTTTTTTTAAAAAAATGTAACATTTAATCAATCTAGTTCTTTAAAAGTTTTTTTTTTTATGTTTTGGTGTGTTTAAAAAAAAACTATTGAATTCGATTCCCTATATCAACTTAGCTCCGTAGTATTTTTCTCCTTGTGAATCTGTTCTATTGTGTAAAAATCAACAACATATGTACTAGCTTATCAGTCCATTTATAGGTAGATGTAGTAATTTACTGTGTTATGTACACATTAACTGCTAACATAAAAAATGCAACAGTTTGTTTTTAAGTGTTAACTGTTATCGATAATGGCGCTCAGTATTGATGTTCTGTGAAAATATCGAAGAGTCAAGGTGACTAAGCTTCCGCTAGGGGGTGTTCTTGGCTCTACTTTAATACAAAAATAACATTAAGATTAGAAGATTTAGGAATAAGAACAGCATTGAGTTGAGGGAAAATATTGGTACATGGTTGAAACGTACTGATAAATATTGATCAATCAATCAATCAATCAATCAATCAATCAATCAATCAATCAATCAATCAATCAATCAATCAATCAATCAATCAATCAATCAATCAATCAATCAATCAATCAATCAATCAATCAATCAATCAATCAATCAATCAATCAATCAATCAATCTATCAATCTATCAATCTATCAATCAATCAATCAATCAATCAATCAATCAATCAATCAATCAATCAATCAATCAATCAATCAATCAATCAATCAATCAATCAATCAATCAATCAATCAATCAATCAATCAATCTATCTATCTATCTATCAATCTATCAATCTATCAATCTATCAATCTATCAATCTATCAATCAATCAATCAATCAATCAATCAATCAATCAATCAATCAATCAATCATCCTTTAACCATCGCGGTTGTTGGTGCGCCACCAGTTGATTTCCTCATAATTACCCCCCCCCCCCCCCCCCCTCATCTCAGTCGTCTGCTGCTGTGAGTAGTTCTGCAACAGGTGACCAGTCTTTGATGTCCACCATCCAATGACGTTTTTTTTTTACCTTTCCCTCCTTCTCCCTCCTGGCACAGTGCCTTGCATTAATGTTGTGGATAGGCTGTTTGATTTTATGACACGCCCATATGCCCATACCACCTTAGTTTTCTTACTTTGGCTATGCTCAGTAAACGGACCTCGGATATGTTGATAAAACTGTACAAATTGTAGTGAAATGGCCTCTTTTAAACTTTCGTGATCATCCGTTCAACAATAACACAACACAAAAGCATCAGATTACGACAAAACAGAAATAAAGAACATAGGAAAATCAGAACACTTCAGTACTGAAGCATAAATATTGAATATATCACTAACATTTCACTTATTCCTTTGGAGAGCAAAGGGCTGTAGACACACCTCTCCTGGGAAACAAAGAGCTACAACCACACCTCTCCTGGGGAGCAGAGGGCTACAGTCACATCTCTCCTGGGGAGCAAAGGGCTACAGTCACACCTCTCCTGGGGAGCAAAGGGCTACAGTCACACCTCTCCTGGGGAGCAAAGGGCTACAGTCACACCTCTCCTGGGGAGCAAAGGGCTACAGTCACACTTCTTCTGGGGAGCAAAGGGCTACAGTCACACTTCTTCTGGGGAGCAAAGGGCTACAGTCACACTTCTTCTGGGGAGCAAAGGGCTACAGTCACACTTCTTCTGGGGAGCAAAGGGCTACCGCCACACTTCTTCTGGGGAGCAAAGGGCTACAGCCACACCTCTCCTGGGGAGCAAAGGGCTACATCCACACTTCTCCTGGGGAGCAAAGGGCTACAGTCACACCTCTCCTGGGGAGCAAAGGGCTACATCCACACTTCTCCTGGGGAGCAAAGGGCTACAGTCACACCTCTCCTGGGGAGCAAAGGGCTACAGCCACACCTCTCCTGGGGAGCAAAGGGCTACAGTCACACCTCTCCTGGGGAGCAACGGGCTACAGCCAAACCTCTCCTGGGGAGCAAAGGGCTACAGTCCCACCTCTCCATCGTACTCTGTTCTGAGTGGCTCTCTTTATTTGCGCCCCATGTAATGCCAACAGATCTTACCTCATCTTCTATGGTCCACCTCCATGATTTCTTTGGTTTTATCATAATGCACCGGTCGACATATATGTTGGTTTCATCATAGTTCACTGAAATCTACATATCATATGTTGGTTTTATCATAATACACTGAAGTCTAGAATTCATATGTTGGTTTTATCATAATGCACTGAAGTCTACATATCATATGTTGGTTTTGTCATAACTCTGTAATTAATTACAATCTTACCACACGTACCTAACCATCCCTAAACTTTTTAACATATTGCAGTAAAATATAATCCTCTAATGGCTAATTAGTCATAGCACTATAATGTATAAACAGAAAATGATAGGGTAGACACAGTCGGCGTAGAAATATCACTCTCTGTTTATGTTGCTAGTTCAGTAACGAAGCCTGCCTCCAACCCCTCTACGTGTTTACCCTAACCAGTCATTGCCCTCAAGTACATTATCGTCTCAACCAATCCATCAAGAAAACCTCTATTCTGCAACACCAAACACATTTGATCATAATTTAAGCTTTTTACACTTTTAAGAAAATCTTTTTATCCTCGTTCTCGATTTCCCCATTGTCACACGAAAATTGAAAACAATACAAGGGTTAAATGGTTAAGGTAGGGGTTAAATGGTTAATGTTGGGGTTAAATTACCAGGAAAATGAAACTTAACACAGCAGTCTCAGAGCCCTGACCCCGATGTGTCAGATTAGCCCACTTCAGCCCTCGGAGGGTTAAAAATTTTTAGCCTTGCTGGTAGTAACAGGAGTTGAGTGACGTCATCTCTCTCAGGGCTCGCGAAAGTAGGAAAAGAATAAATATTTAGGTTTAAAGTTACGCTGATAGTGATGACGTCAGAGGATAAGGTCACACACATACAGTCTTAACGACTCACATACACGCGTACAGGCGACTACATAAACACACACACACACGAAGACAATGCAAATAAAATTGTTCATACTTAAACAGTGTCCAGTGTACATATAAAATACCCCCACTCCTCATAAGCTTCCCCTCCAAAAAGGTTAAGTTTTATTTAAGGGGTCCCCCATTTCTTTTGACGAATTTTCACCTCAGTGTCTCCTCACCATGACTGTCAGAAAAGGTCTAGGACTCTCCACAAAATGACGTCATACTTTAAGACCATCCATTGCAATTTAATTACACCGTGAACTGCTTTGATTAGCTATTTAATCAAGATCACCCTTGTATTTGTATTATAATCGTCCTGTGGACTTTTTGGTTCAAAATTTGAATCGTTAAATTTTAAAATATTGTATGGTAACAATCCATTTTCCAGTATTAGAATAAACAATTTTTACATAATTATTTCGTTGTTTTTATTTTCGTTTTTAAGTAGCTACGCTAAAGCACATTATTCTGTCTCTTAGATGGGTATTCCTTAATTATGTTGGATAAAAACACCTCCAATATTACAAATAAGAATGATGAACCATTGAACAAGAAGTAGGCTTTTTTTTTTTTCATTTTTTTGTAACTTAAAATATTATTTCCCATAAATACATCGGCATTGTACAAAGGTGTTTAGCAACGCAGATTTCTTTTTTTTTAATCACATACTTTTTAATTACACACCAGAATATTCTTCAAATATTTTATACCTAACCTACCCGAGAAAATTACACTACAAAGGGAAACTACTCAAATGCATAATCGAACGTTTAAAAATAAACTAGCTGAATCATAACATAACAAATACTAGTTGACGATAATTTTCAATGATTTAGTTAGATCACACTATTTGTCAATCTTTTTAATTGCTAGTTAACTTACTTTTTAAAAAACACAAATGAAGGTTAATTCCTGATAAAATCTAATAGCTTATTAATGGACAACTTTTTGCAAGCCGTAAATTGGTTTGCTGGAAAAGGTTTTATCTTTTGGTTGAATAATAAAATAGAACTCTATACTTGTATTCTTAACATGTATAGGAAATTGAACATTATTCTAAATTCTTAATTGTATAGCATTCAAATAATTTAATTATTAATAATTTAATAAATTAATAATTTAATATCTAATTAAATTAAATTGCGTTGTCATCTGAGTTGTACCATGCACCTTTGTACATAGTTTGAAACATGTGAAAACGTTGTTGTAAAATTGACCACAAACCCTCAAACCAACTACGATTGTGATCTAAGTATAAATACAGCTTGAAAATCGAATGCAGGCATTTTTGTCACATACTTGCGATTAGCCAGTCACATAGACGTGTCATTCTTGAGTATCAATTTTTAAAGTGTCATACTTGAAAAGTGGTTCTTATTTGATTCTTATTAATATTCTTCTTCTTCTTATTGTTATAGCTAATGCAGTTGCTGTTGCTATTGTTGTTTTCATTGTTATTGCTGTGCGGTTGCTGTTGTTGTTTTTATTGTTATTGTTATTGATATTGCTATTGTTGTTTTCATTGTTATTGTTATTGCTAATGCTGTCGCTGATGTTGATTTTATTGTTATGGCTGTTGCTGTTTTTGTTTTTATTGTTATTTTCATTGCTATTGTTGTTTTCATTGTTATTGTTATTGCTAATGCTGTCGCTGTCGCTGATGTTGATTTTATTGTTATGGCTGATGTTGATTTTATTGTTATGGCTGTTGCTGTTGTTGTTTTTATTGTTATTTTTATTGCTATTGTTGTTTTCATTGTTATTGTTATTGCTAATGCTGTCGCTGATGTTGATTTTATTGTTATGGCTGTTGTTGTTGTTGTTTTTATTGTTATTTTTATTGCTATTGTTGTTTTCATTGTTATTGCTAATGCTGTCGCTGTCGCTGATGTTGATTTTATTGTTATTACTATTACAGTTGTTGTTTTTATTGTTATTTTTATTAGTATCGTCATAGTTATCGTTGTTGTTATTATGAATTAATTCATCCCACTTGCAGCCAGAACTACCCAACAATGATTGTCGCCTGTCTGGTGGTTTGGGGGGCGCTGCTGACGTCCTCCGGGTCAGTTCCTGTTGTCATGTCAACGTCCCGGTGCTACGACGTGCCAGTCAAGGCCGACTTTGACGTCCAGAAGGTCAGTGCACCACGCGGGGTCATCAAGTACGCGGCCGTCGCTTCTAGAAGGTTCACAAGCATACGTTTAATTGTCAATCTGAACGCGCAATAGAGCTGGTAAGTAGGTCACCTACCAGTTCTATGGCTCATGCAGGTTTTATTGAGCCTTAGAACTGGTTGATGACCTACTTAACAGCCCTATTTAAAGATGAACTTAAATGATTAGCCAGAATACCGTATATATTCCTATCTGTCACACGTGATTTGTCGCATTATTAGAGGTAGATCAATAGCCACTTAATATTGGCCTGCTTTACATAATATTTAATGAATTTTATAATTAATTGATGCTAGGGCAGTTTGTGTAATTCCGTTTCTAATTAATTATTTTTCTTTCATGCTCATTTTGGTGAATTCACGCCTTGTACAAAAATGTTAATAACAGTAATTTTATTAGTGTCAGTGCTAGTAACATTGTATCGAATTGTCGCGTTTTGTTGCGTTTTGTAAACTAAACTAAAGTTTTCTCTTAAACCTTTGGGCAGATGAAGTAGAGTTCATATGTTATTTGACTTCGGCACGTGATGGGATGATGTGGTCAGCAATGTGCCCAGCCGCCTTTATTTTCCCCAATGTAATTCAGGTACCCATTAGCGCTGGGTGGGCTCAGGGAAGTCCTGCAGTCACATATCCAAACCAAGATCCGAACTCGAGACCTTTGGGCTATCATTCAAACGCTCTACCATTCGACTGCGTGTTGAATCCTATCGTATCGTATCGTATAGTATCGTATTGTATCGATTGCCTATTAAATCGAATTGTACTGTAACGAATATTTTGTCACGTTGTCGTTTTGTTGTGATGCACTAAGCATTTTAAACCTGCTTTTTCTGATTCCCTATATTAAATAAACCGGGAGTGATCTCCCCTAAACTTTCTCGAATATTCTAATATAACACTACATGGGATGGCAACTCGGGATATAGACTTCTAGACATGATTTTTAATCCATTTTAAATACTCACATTTCTTAAAATAGAATATAATCTCGTAGAAAAAAGAAATGCACACCAAGTGAACACTAAATAAAAAAGCGCATAATAGTGCGCAATATTATTAGTACTTTATAAATTTACATGCGTTTTTTGAGAAATCGGAAATAGCGTAAATAAGTACTTCCGGTCAACGGAAATTACTCAAAATTTGACAGAAGGTAGAGAATTAGATCGTTTACTTACATATCAAATTTCATTTATCTATCTGAAATAGTACTCAAGTTATAGGCTTTTGAAAAATTCAAAGTAGAAAAAGTACCACTTCCGGTTATCGGAATTCGCTCAAACGTTGATACGGATCTACGATTTTGATAAAATACTTATATATGAAATTTCACCAGCCTAGCTGTAACGGTACTCAAGTTATCGTGTTTATACACGGACACACAGACACACAGACACACAGACACACACACACACAGACATACGGACAAGATTGCAAAATTATGTTTTTCCGTATCAGTGAGGTGTAAAACGTCGAGATTTGTAAAAATCTTGATTTTTTTTTTTTTTAAATTTTTTGCACGATTGCAATACTTTCTCTATACTACGTATATACGAGAAAGTAAAAAAAAGAATGCTTTTCGTAGAATAGGCCACGGTCAAGTAATTTAATTCGCGCATATAGAGTACCACTAGTAGCAGCGTACATTCTAGAATCAAATAAACTGCCATGTTAGTGGGATACAATTTCTTTTTAATAATCCCAGATTGCGAAGATTAGCATTTTTTTTTGTAGTTGTAAAATCCGGATTTCATTGCTCCACCTTTATATGACATTTAACCTTTGACCCTCCATCAGTTCATGGGCCTCTGGAAAGTGCATGAGTTATTCCCCACCGTGTACCTGGAGGGTGTGTCCTGCCCGACCATGACCTTCACACAGAAGTCGGACAACTACGACATCATCGACGTGATCATCACGGGAATAGTCGACGTCATATTGTAGGTCTATGGTGGTGTCACGTTGTAGGTCATTCGTCCATGGTCGTGTCATGTTGTAGGTCGTGTGTCTATAGTGTCACGTTGTAGGTCATGTGTCTATGCTGGTGTCACGTTGTTGGTCAATTGTCTATAGTGTCACGTTGTAGGTCATTTGTCCATGGTGGTGTCACGTTGTAGGTCATTCGTCCATGGTGTCACGTTGTAGGTCATTCGTCCATGTTGTCACGTTGTAGGTCATTTGTTCAAATTATCATGTTGTTTGTCATGTTTTCATAGTGTCACGTAGTTGGTCATTAGTATATGATGTCATGTTTAGGTCATTTTTCCGTGTTGGTAATATCCCCTGAATGCGACGTTGCAAACATTTTATCAACAGTGTTATAGTATTTGTCATTTGTTCCTAAAAGTTAAAGGTTATTCGTCCTCCATGTAATGTTTGAGTAAATTTTTTTCTCACTGTACACAAAAACATAAATATACACACCAGCACATATTTACACGCCAATTAACATAACACATACTCATATCCGCCGTGGTCTAACTTTTGACGCAGTGGTCTGACGTCATTTCAGCTTTGGTCGCAGCATCTGGAGGTCAAAGGTCGAGTATGATGGCGTGGCCACCATCATCAACTCTACTCTACCTGCCCAGTGGTCAGTTACGTACGGCGGACAGCCAGGTACCTTAAGGGTGAAATGACGTAACTAACATGGCAGTTTTGTAATGACGTAGGCATGACGTCATATTACTCGACTAGCTTCCACAGAGGCGTAGCGACCTTTTCCGGCGCCCGGGGACAAACTTTTCGATTTCCACCCCCCCCCCAGCCTTCAAGATTTCGATTTGCACCCCCCTCCCTCAAACTTTCGATTTGCACCCCCCCCCTCAAGATTTCGATTTGCACCCCCCCTCAAACTTTCGATTTGCACCCCCCTCAACCTTTCAATTTATTTTTCAAACCCATTTTGGCGCCCCCTAGGGTCGGCGCCCGGGGACATATGCCCCCCCCCCTCTCGCTACGTTACTGAGCTTCCATGGTTTGTGATGACGTAGGCGAAACGTCACACCATTCTGGAATAATCTGGAATCTGTGTTTTGTGATGACGTAAGAGTGAAAGTGTGGCGGCGTGGTCGGATGGTAGAGTTAACGACTGCTAACCTGAACGTCTCGAGTTCGAATCCCAGGCTAGAGACTATAGGACGTCTCTAAGTCCACCCAGCTCTAATGGGCACCTGACTCACATAAAGGAAACAAATTTGGCTGGGAATAGTGCTAACCACACTATCCTTTCATATGCCGAGGACATTAAAACAAATGAGCTCTACTTCACCTGCCACGTGTGACTTGGGCGTGAACGGTAAAAGATGGTGATAAAGTGTAACGTCACACTATTTGAGTCAGTTTTTGTAATAACGTAACCTTACACTAATGACGTATTTGTTTTGTAATGGTGTGACTTCACGTAAAACTACTACAGTTGACGTATTGTAATCACGTAACGTCACACAAACGAAGTCTTTATTTTGTTATGACATAACACCATACAACTGAAGTCTTTAATTTGTAGCTATGTTACGTCATATCACACTAATGAAGTCTATGGTTTGTAAAAGTGTAGCGTCACACTAGTGAAGTACTTGTTGTGTAGTGGTGTAACGTCACGTCACGCTATTGAGTCCCATGTTTTATCGCAGAATATGACGCCAACAACGTCAATTTCTACGTAGTCTCAACCGACTACCACACCTACGCCATCGTTTACTCGTGTACACAGCCGTCACCAATTCTGGATATAAAGATAGGTCAGTTCATCTTTCTATATTAGAGATTTTCATCCAGTTATATATATATATATATATATATATATATATATATATATATATATATATATATATATATATATATATATATATATATAAATAAATTATATATATATATATATAGACATATAAATAAATAAATTATATATATATACATATATATATATATATATATATATATATATATATATATATATATATATATATATATATATATATATATATATATATATATATATATATATATATATATATATATATATAATTTTGTCTTTATGGTAATATTTACAAGCAGCATCATATTTTCCCATTTCCCCACAGAGACGGCCTATATCCTAGTACGAGACATCCAGAACCCCCCAACAATTCTGGGATCTCTCAAGTACAGCCTCAGGTCATGGGGGGTCAACACCACAAACTTTATCCCCGCCAATAACAAGCATTGCTGAGACAATATGATGTTTCCATTGTTGAGAAAATATTTGATGTTTCTGTTGTTTTTTTGTGTTGTGTCATTTAGGCCAGATTATGAGTTTAAAAACAGTTTCAAATCTGAAAAACGAAATAACCATTTTTGGTGAAATAAAAAATAAAAAATTTAAAAAAATATTTGAAATTTTTTTGTTTTTGAAAATATATCGTAATGTGAAGCCATGTAGCCTACAGATTGTTGTTTATGTGGCGTGTAGGCTGTTATAGTGTGGGAGTGTGGTGTGTGGGTGTTAAAGTGTGGTGTATGGATGTTTAAGTTTGTGTGGTGTACGGGTGTTAAAGTGTGGTGTGTGGTGTATGGATGTTCAAGTGTGGTGTGTGGTGTACGGGTGTTAAAGTGTGGTGTGTGGGTGTTTAAGTTTGTGTGGTGTACGGGTGTTAAAGTGTGGTGTGTGGTGTATGGATGTTCAAGTGTGGTGTGTGGTGTACGGGTGTTAAAGTGTAGTGTGTGGGTGTGGGTGTTCAAGTGTGGTGTATGGATGTTCAAGTGTGGTGTGTGGTGTACGGGTGTTAAAGTGTGGTGTGTGGTGTATGGATGTTCAAGTGTGGTGTGTGGTGTACGGGTGTTAAAGTGTGGTGTGTGGGTGTTATAGTGTGGTGTGTGGGTGTTATAGTGTGGTGTGTGGGTGTTAAAGTGTGTTGTGTGGGTGTTCAAGTGTGAAAGTGTGGTGTGTGAGGTAGAAGAGTTTGTGTGGGAATCAAAGTGTGCAAGTGTTTTGTGTGGGTATGAAAGTGTGCAAGTGTTTTGTGTGGGAATCAAAGTGTGCAAGTGTTTTGTGTGGGTATGAAAGTGTGCAAGTGTTTTGTGTGGGAATCAAACTGTGCAAGTGTTTTGTGTGTGTATGAAAGTGTGCAAGTGTTTTGTGTGGGAATCAAAGTGTGCAAGTGTTTTGTGTGGGTATCAAAGTGTGCATGTGTCCAGGTGTGTGTGTCAATGTGTTCGAGGCGTGTGACGAAATCGATGCACACAACCTGCAACATGTTTGACATCTGGGTCAGGTTAACCCAGTTAGGAGAAATCTAAAATCTACCAAAATTATTTCACTTGTTCAAATTTTAATAAGTATTGTTGAGTGGGGAGGGGGGTTGAAGGGAAAATATTTGATAGTTTGTTTTGGAAACAAAAGCTACAAAGGTCTCATGTAAACAGATACAATCGTCTGCAATGAACGCGCAACTCATAGGAATTGGTAGCAGGAACGTTGTATGCTTGCTCTTCCCCGTGAAGAATCTAACAATAAAATATCAGTTGGTTTGACGACACGATCAAGGGAAACAATCATGAAAAACAACGAACATATAATTTTTTTTATTATCTACAAACGTAAAAAAGTTAAGAAAGATATTTGTTTTTACAATACGTAGAAGTATTTTTTAACGGACTGTTCAAACACCTACGGGAGGGGGGGGGGCTCTGACTTTTGAGTCAATATGGTTCAGATATGCATGTGATGAAAGTGTCGCACTGTTGAATTTTTAAAAAATGTGTTGAATGCAGAGGCGTAGCGACCCTTACCGGCGCCGGGGACAACCTTTCAATTTATTTTTCCAACCCATTTTGGCGCCCCCCTAAGGTCGGCGCCCGGGGACATATGTCCCCCCCCCCCCCCCCGCCCCCCACCCCAACCCCCCCTCGATACGCTACTGGTTGAATGTATTCTTTTAGTTGAATTTTTTTTCTAATTTTGTCTTTATACATTATTTTTGGTGATCAATGAATCAAAGAATGTTTAAAATTTCAATACAAAGGGAAAATACTCAGTAAATATTTTTACGTAAAACTGTCTCCGCTTGGTTATATCCCCTTACTGCAAAAAAAAAAACCAAAAAAAAAAACCAAAAAAAAAATGAAACAACGATTTGAAAAACTTCGAGAACTTTTAAAATAATAATGTTAAAAAGAACTCAAAACATAATAATAGTTCTTTACTTCTTTATTTCACTGCGGCAGTTAAATGCGTAAACACTACGTTAAAAACCTTAATAAAACAATACCGAAAATGTAATAAAAACACTTGAAAATCAACTTTTTGTTGTAATCTTGCATAGACTTAGGCATAGTCTAGGCTATATTTTCAAGCAAGTGGACACCGCACTGTTTGAAAATGGAAGAAATTGTGTATTTAAGTTGAACATTTTATACTTTTGAGTGATTTCCGGTAAACGGAAGTGGAATTTTTTTCTACTGTCTTTTGAACATGTCAACTTGAATCATTTCAAAAGGAAGAAATTTTAAATTTTATATATATATATAATTTTTTTTAACTTTTGAGCGATTTCCGGTAACCGGAAAACACTACTTTAATCACTTTCGGATTTCTCGAAAACCTTTGGAATATAATACTTTTATAACAAACTTTCAAAACGCAGCATATCGTAAGAACTTTAAGGCCGAGCAATTTCGCGAAAAAAATTCTTTAGCCTGATTTTAAAGGAAGTCCACCCTAACGCTTACAGTTATACAAGAAATACGAGAAAATGTATAGCTCACTCCCACTTGAAATAGCTACCCCCACATGTAAAGCTATTGCAGCTGATTTATAAAAGCCATAAAGTATCGACCAAACGGGGCGGCTGATACATCTAGTGTGCACAGTTCACATAGATAGGATAATAGCGTTCTGTGTTCGGGCTGAAAAAATTAGTTTCTTGTTAAATGAAGGTAGGTTTTTTTTAATATGATAGAGCATATTTTTATATGCCGGGTAATATAAATAAGTAAGACTAACTTCCTTTAGCATATATACATAGTTTTTAATAATACTTTTAGGGTATTTAAATTTTTAATGTTCTAATACGTAGTGTTTCTTCCAGACTTTTTTCTCCGGGGGCACTTGAATTTTTTTTGGGGGGGAGGGGGGGGGGCGGTAGACTTTCTTCGGGAGGGGGGGGGGCGGTAGACTTTCTTCGGGGGGGGGGGGGCGGACACTGTTAAAAAATATTTTTTTTCTATATAAATTATATACATTTCATTTCGTTCGGGGGGGGGGGGGGACTAGCGACAAAAAGAACAGCGGAAAAGAACGTCCCTGAGTCCACCCAGCTCTGATGGGTACCTTCTCTTCATTTTCCGAGGTCAAGAAAAATATGAACTCTACTTCATCTGCCCAATGGATCGCTAAGTCTAAAGAGGATTCTTTACTTTTAAATGCACTTGACACCATGGCCGCGGTCAATATGGGTTCAGCTTTCAACAAAAAGAACAACAATCTTTTACTGGCTTTTAAATATTTAGATGTTGTCCGAAAAGATAATTTCATGAAATATGTGATAATATGTGCAGGGGTGACACCATTTAGGGGGGTGACACCAAGGCAAAAAATAGCAAAATATATAGAGAAAAACTTGAGGGGTGGGGGGGGGGGTGCAAATCGAAAACTTGAGGGGGGGGGGGGTGCAAATCGAAAACTTGAAAGTTTGTCCCCGGGAAGGGTCGCAACGCCTCTGGGGGGGGGGGGGGGTGACACCATTAAGTGCCGCACCGCGTGACACCCGACCTCGCTACGCCACTGAATATTGTGATGTTTTACATTTTCGTATGAACAATGCCATATAATCATGATGGAATAATGTGTAAATGTTTTAAACTGATGTATCGCATGTCACAGAACGGGAATTTTGATAGGTAATATTTTAAATTTTACGCTTTGATTATTAGAATTTCGTGTTTACAACTATACTCGGGTTGCTAATTCAAATGTAGATGTTTTTTACTTTCTCGTATATACGTAGTATAGAGAAAGTATTGTAATCGTGCAAAAAAAAAAATCGAGATTTTTACAAATCTCGACGTTTTACACCTCACTGATACGGAAAAACATAATTTTGCAATCTTGTCCGTATGTCTGTGTGTGTGTCTGTGTGTCCGTGTGTAAACACGATAACTTGAGTACCGTTACAGCTAGGCTGGTGAAATTTCATATATAAGTATTTTATCAAAATCGTAGATCCGTATCAACTTTTGAGCGAATTCCGATAACCGGAAGTGGTACTTTTTCTACTTTGAATTTTTCAAAAGCCTATAACTTGAGTACTATTTCAGATAGATAAATGAAATTTGATATGTAAGTAAAATAGCTAATTCTCTACCTTCTGTCAAATTTTGAGTAATTTCCGTTGACCGGAAGTACTTATTTACGCTATTTCCGATTTCTCAAAAAACGCATGTAAATTTATAAAGTACTAATAATATTGCGCACTATTATGCGCTTTTTTATTTAGCGTTCACTTGGTGTGCATTTCTTTTTTCTACGAGATTATATTCTATTTTAAGAAATGTGAGTATTTAAAATGGATTAAAAATCATGTCTAGAAGTCTATATCCCGAGTTGCCATCCCCTGTAGTGTTATATTAGAATATTCGAGAAAGTTTAGGGGAGATCACTCCCGGTTTATTTTATTTATGTTATATGTAAACGTTTTCTGTGCGCCGTGTGTGTAATGATGTGCTCTATGTGTAAAGATGTGCTCTATGTGTAAAGATGTGATCCTTGTGTAAAGATGTGCTCTGTGTGTAAAGATGTGCTCTATGTGTAAAGATGTGCTCTATGTGTAAAGATGTGCTCTATGTGTAAAGATGTGCTCTATGTGTAAAGATGTGCTCCAGGTGTAAAGATGTGCTCTATGTGTAAAGATGTGCTCAGGGTGTAAAGATGTGGTCCTTGTGTAAAGATGTGCTCCAGGTGTAAAGATGTGCTCCAGGTGTAAAGATGTGTTCCATGTGTAAAGATGTGCTATATGTGTAAAGATGTGCTCCATGTGCAAAGATGTGCTCTATGTGTAAAGATGTGCTATATGTGTAAAGATGTGCTCCATGTGTAAAGATGTGCTATATGTGTAAAGATGTGCTCCATGTGTAAAGATGTGCTCTCTGTGTAAAGATGTGCTCTATGTGTAAAGATGTGCTCTATGTGTAAAGATGTGCTCCAGGTGTAAAGATGTGCTTCAGGTGTAAAGATGTGCTCTATGTGTAAAGATGTGCTCTATGTGTAAAGATGTGCTCCAGGTGTAAAGATGTGCTCTGTGTGTAAAGATGTGCTCTATGTGTAAAGATGTGCTCCATGTGTAAAGATGTGCTCCAGGTGTAAAGATGTGCT